TGATTCTGGTTCCTCTGCCTTTTCTAAATCCATCTTGAACATCTGGAAGTTCTTGGTTCACGTATTGTTGAAGCCTGGCTTGGAAGAGTAGGTTTGAATAATGAATAGTAGGTTTGAAGTATGTCCCAGGCTTATGGTAATACATTCACTTGTTCAGGGTGCACTGGTGTGGAGAAGTAAGTAAATAATGAGCCCTGGGGCAGTAATGTGGCTAAAAGTGCTTAGCTTGGTGTCTGGCTCGGGGCGGGTGCTTGATAAACGCTTAAGGGGGCTGCCCTCAGTGCTCTGCGGTGAGTTCCCTCTGTCCTGGAAGCCCGGGGGAGCCCTGGCCGGGACAGCGCGGTCCTTCTCAGAAGACTCAGTTTCAGGTCCTCACGTTGAGACATCGTCTCCGTCAACCTGTGGGGTTTCTATCTGCGCCCTCCTGCCCCTGCCAGAGCTTAACGAACGGTGAGAGCTGTGGGCTGCCGCCCCTCCCGGCGTGCCCGGGGGTCCGGATCAGCCCCTGGTGCGAGTTCCGGAACATCGCCCGGCGAGTGGTCCCCGTACGCCGTCAGCGCCGCGTCAGGAGTGCTGACTCTCGGGCCCACTTGGGGCCGCCGCACCCATGTCTTGCGTCGCGAGACGTCAGGGGATTTATGTGCTCACTAGAGGTTGAGAGGCGCCAGACTTTCAGAGTTGGAAGCGCTGGTCTGCTGGACCCCCAGTAAGAGCAGGCAGTTACGCAGCTACTGGATGAGGACTGCCTCACACGCTTGAACCTAATCTTCTGGCAGGAGGAGAAATGGCCTGCTTTCTTCCTCGCTTTGATCGCTGAAGACGCAGTCAGGGCTGCTCGTAGGACAGAGACGGCCTGAGACGCCCACGTGCGATGCCCTCATCTCTGCTGCCGGGGCGTGTCTGGAGCGTCCGCTCTGGCCGTCCCGACTCCGTCCTGGCTCAGGGTCCCGCGTTTGCAGTGTCCTGAGTAAGGGCGGTGGCTGTGCCCGCCTGCAGCAGCGGCGGCGAGAGGGAGTCCAGCCTGAGGACGCGGCCGTCCCTTTCACCGACTGCTCTGGGCTCTGCTCTCTGCTTTGTTTTCTCACTTTATGCAAATATCTTTAAATTTCTTCACCCCCTGCTCCTATTTTGCCCCTCCCTGTTGCCCCCATCCCACAGGTAGTCATTGGTTTGTTCCCCACAGCTGTGGATCTGCTTCTTTTTAAAATAAATATTCACTAGTTTGTTGATTTTTTAGATTCCACATATAAATGATATCATACGATATTAATATTTGTCTTTCTCCGTTTGACTTATTTCCCCAGCATAATACCCTCCAAGTCCGTTCATGCTGCTGCAATTGGCAACATTTCAGTCTTTTTTTTTTGTTGTTTGTTTTTTTATTGGGATATATTTTTACATATAGAAATTTACAGTTTCAAATACATCCAACCTCAGTGAACAACAAAATGAAGAGAATTTTAACATGAACAATCTGTCTTTAGCAGCTAGCAGTTTATATTCCACATAACTGCAGAACACTAAATTCTCATAATTATTATTGCTGAGTATTCTGTTAAACTTCAATGATTAACCAAAGATTAACAATACAAATTAACATTTCATGCAAAAGTATCACTTATGATAAATTATCTTCTTGTATGAAACTAACTTCCTTAAAAAAATAGGTTTCATGTACTGAAAACAGTACTATGCCAAATATCTCCTACATACACGTGTTTCTAATACAAACTAGGTATAAGCTAGAGAAAATAGTCAACCACATTACTACAAGGCAGATTATATTCTTTCATTTCATCAACAGCCCTATGAAAAGTTTATTATCTTTAAAGGGAAATATTTTGGGCTATCATTTTCATTTTATTGACAATTGATATTTATTTCTAACTGATTTATTTCTAATGTTAAGAAGTTCACTTTTAGCAAGCACTGAACGCTTCAGAGACCAGAAAAGATTTTGTACTTGAGAGTGATTCTAGGAAATTCTCTACTATGTCTTATAGAAAGACAAATTAATATGTAGATTAATACAGAACTATGTATTAAGTTATTAAAATTAACTTGACATGTGGCTAGCCCAAATTAGTAAAATATACACCAGAAATCAAAAAATTAGTACAGAAGAATGTAAGCTATCATAAAAGATTTTTATAATGATTACATGTTGAAATTACAATATTTTGGATATGCTGAGTGAAATGAACTATACTATTAAAATTAACTTCCATTGATTCTTTTAATTTTTTCATGTAGCTGCTAGAAAAATGTAAATTATATCTACAATCATGGCTCACATTATTTTTCTATTCTATGGCACTGCTACAGAAACAGAAGATTCTATTACACGTGTTAATATTAATCCCAACCCACACTGTTAAATTTCATATCATTATGGTATTTGACATATGTAACTTATTATCACAAGGCTCTTGAGCTTGGAATCAAATACACCTCTACTCTTGAGTACAAGACCAAACAAAACCTGCTCTTTTTCATCATCATCTGTATACTAACAACTGTGCTAAACTCTGTTTATGTATGATTCAACAAACAGGAAAAAGAGATCCTGTGAATGACAGAAATGTTCTAAAACTGGACTGTGGTAATAGCTTCACGTCTAGAAGTGCCATCCAGAAGCTGTATGTAAACTGCAGGTAATTCAAATATGCTCCTTCAGTCCATCAGATGGTTCAACATTGTGAATAAATTTTTCCACGAGGGTTCTGTTACCTGCAAGGATCCTCATTCAAGAGTGGATTATGGAATCACTAGTTGGAGGTATAAGTTATAAAAACCAAGAGAACACAGAGTAGCTGCGAGTGGACAGCTTATTTGCCTTCAGCAGTGCCCAGCTTAGGCAATGACAGCCCTCATAGTAATGTACATCTTGTTGCAACCTTACCCAATCTGGGCACCCTATAACTGGACACCTGCTGGTATTCTGCCATGCTAGACAGAACAGTGGAGTATAAGGAACCCCCTACTCTATACTATTAAAACCAAATAAAAGACAATAGATTAAGTCAAAATTAACATCTAACAATTTCTAAGGGAAGCTGAAAGTTAAACTGCTCAGTTCTCTTTCCTTATTGCAAGAAAAAGAAGTAGCAGAGGAATTCAACAACTCAAAAATTTGGGTAGTCAATCTGGAAAAACATTGGTGATTAATAAATTTCAAGTTAAGAATATAACATCATTTTTTGCATTGCTTCTATCAGACCTTGAAACAAAGTATTTTTAATCTAAAATCTGTGAGATTATTCACTATGGATATAATGGTACTGCCACCTTTTGTTTTGAACATTATCTCCAATAGCAAAAAAATAAAAATAAATCAGCTCTACTTTTTCTATTTTCAAATGGGTCTGAAGAACTATGAGTTATGCTTTATTTAACAGTCAGGAAAACATAGGAAAGTAAAATACAGATCACGCCTTCATGCAGTTGAACCATAATATGTTTTCGTGCTTCTCATGGTCTAAAGCGAAAGTGTTGTTCAGTCATATCACTCTTTGCAACCCCATGGACTATAGCCCACCAGACTCCTCTGTCCACGGGATTCTCCAGGCAAGAGTACTGGAGTGGGGTTGCCATTTCCTTCTCCAGGGGACCTTCCTGACCCAGGGATTGAAGCCAGTTCTCCTGCATTTCAGGCAGACGCTTTACCGTCTGCGCCACCAGGGAGGCCCAATCTGAGGTCTATCCAGTGAATATTATTTTCAGAGCTCACTTTATCCCACATTAACCCAAAAAGAAAGGAGAGAAAATGAAACAGTGGGAACAATGATAACAACACATAAATAACTCACACTGACTACTGAAATGGATTTCAAGATGTGTGCGTATACAGAAATATAAATATAAAAATTTGCACAGATACAATGAGTTCCCTCAAGTTCTCAACTTATATGTAAACCAGGTAGACAGTGCAAATGCCAAAGAGCATGTGGAATATTAAAATCATTCAGGAATGTTCATTTAACGTAGCCACAGAATCAAGGGACATATTACAGTCCATTCCAGCTATAAAATGACTATCCAGGCATTCGTATAAATCCATGAATGCATTTGTTATAGTTACAGACTGAAATTACATCACAATTGTGAATGTGTATGACACAGTGAGTAATTTATGAGTTGAGTGACACATTTAAAACTCAAACAGGTACAAAACATTCGTCAAATCTAACTTTCTAAAAAGATGATTCTCTATTGTTTAGTACTGGATATCACCACCCATTTCACACAATGCAGAATACTGCTCAATGTGCTATCCCAGCACATATCTGGCAGTTTTTTACACTGTCTTATTCTTGCATAAAGGCTTTTAAGGCTCCCAAAATAAAAGCACCTAAATATACAAATATATTTTTAAAGATATCTACAAAATACTGTTATCTAGGTATCAAAACTGAATTGCATTGTATTAGGATACCTATTCTTATTTCTGATATTTTCAATATTTAAAGTAGTTCAATAGTGAAGTTCATCTTTAGGAAGTATAGAGAAAAGTAATTTTTCTTTAGTCCAAGATATTGTTAAACTCATAGAGCATACATAGAGTAAACATTAATACTTAACTTCCCCCAAGGTTAAAACTTTTATAGAATGTTTATAAAGCTCTAAAACAGGTGATTTTAGCCTACCAGCAAGAAGCTTGGCTTTCTCTAATTTTTAAGCAGCCAAAATATTGCTACTGAGGCACTATTCAATTTCTTGAGAGTTTATGTCAAAGACCTATATCTACTTCTTGGTAAATGTCTGTCATCCTCTCCATTCCTAGACACAATACCATTCCAAACAATGTGCAAATAACTGTTTAGGAAAATTGAGATGCTCACTCTAGCTAGCTATTTACTTGCTGAATAAAATAAACCAAAAACATCTCAAAATTTTCTACAGGCTATGCAGAAGAGAGGGAAGGATGATTTTTTAAGAGCCATGCAACTAAGAGATGGAGTTCATTCAGGGAATATACTACTACTGTAAGTTAAAACATATTATACCTTTTTTAGGGCTCTTTGTAAATCACCATAGAAGTTGATTAAAGTGCTTGCCATAGCTGTATCTACTGCAGACTGGGGAATCATTCCACGCAGCTCTGTCTGAATATAGCCTGTCAAAAGACTCCGGCTTGGACTCTCTTTAAGAGGAACACAAAACCAACCACAGGGATGGTTATATCCACGAACAAATTCAGATCTCTTTTCACTCCAGTCAAGACTTATCCCACAGGATAAAAGCCCTTCTTTATAGTCCGCAGTATAGGAGAAGTCAACAAACTCTCTTGGGGAGATTATATTCCAAAGCTGACCCGCAGTTGTATAACGCATAACACAGCAATTCTCCTCGAAGTGCTCCAAAATATCCAAAGAGACCATTAAGCTGTCCCAATCCAAGCGGCAGGGGCCTGGGCGTATGTGGTCTATTACACTGTTGGCAACATCGTCTATCACACCTTGGGCTTTGAAAAGATATCCATTAAATTCTTCTGAAGGTTTCCTCCAAATTGTTACATCTTTCGTCTTCTTAGCAACTCGCCACTTTTCATCTTCAAGGTTGTGGTACTGGATAAGAGTATTTTTAAGTCGAGTGGCCAAAACAGCTACATCAGGCAGAGCTTCCATTTGTTTTTCCTTGCTATAATTTGCAGTAGTTGTTGATGTTGACAAAGACTCTCTCCTTGGTCAGGCTCCTCTGAGTCCTCTTTGTGACGAGGCCTAGCCCTTGGGAAGCTGGTGGCTCAGCAGTAAAGAATCCACCGCACCTCCGGGCGCTCCGCGGACCAAGACGCTACCAGGCGCCCGGGGGCCGACGCGCACAGCTCCCTGCGGCCCCGCCCACCGAAGCCCCCTTCAGTCTTTTTTATGACTGAGTAGTATTCCATTGCATGCATGTGCATAGTACATACACTACATATATGTATATATAGGGGCTTGCCAGGTGGCACAGTGGTAAAGAACCCACCTGCCAATGCAGGAGACGTGGAGTCCATCCCTGGGTCGGGAAGATCCCCAGGAGGAGGGAAGGGCAACCCACTCCAGTATTCTTGCTTGGGGAATCCCACAGACCAGAGGAGCCTGGTGGGCTGCAGTCCATGGGGTCAGAGACTCAGACACAACGGACCAGCTGAGCACAAGCCAATGTGTGTGTGTGTGTATTCACATCATGGAGTGATGTATGTATGTATTCACATCATGGAGTGGTGTTTGTATGTATTCACGTCATGGAGTGGTGTATGTATATATTCACATCATGGAGTGGTGTATATGTATATTCACATCATGGAGGGGTGTATATGTATATTCACATCATGGAGTGGTGTATATGTATATTCACATCATGGAGTGGGGTATATATATGTACTCACGTCATGGAGTGGTGTATATGTGTACTCACGTCATGGAGTGGTGTATATGTGTACTCATGTCATGGAGTGGTGTATATATACATGTATTCACATCATGGAGTGGTGTATATGTGTATTCATGTCACGGAGTGGTGTGTATGTGTAGTCACGTCATGGAGTGGTGTATATGTGTACTCACGTCATGGAGCAGTGTATATGTGTACTCATGTCATGGAGTGGTGTATATATACATGTATTCACATCATGGAGTGGTGTATATGTGTATTCATGTCACGGAGTGGTGTGTATGTGTAGTCACGTCATGGAGTGGTGTATGTGTGTATTCACGTCATGGAGTGATGTGTATATACTAACATCATGGAGTGGTGTGTATGTGTATTCACATCATGGAGTGGTGTGTATATATTCACGTCATGGAGTGGTGTATATATACTCATGTCATGGAGTGGTGTGTGTGTATTCACATCATGGAGTGGTTATAAATATATTCACGTCATGGAGTGGTTATATATATATTCACATCATGGAGTGGTGTATATGTATATTCACATCATGGAGTGGGGTATATATATGTACTCACGTCACGGAGTGGTGTATATGTGTACTCACGTCATGGAGTGGTGTATATGTGTACTCACGTCATGGAGCAGTGTATATGTGTACTCATGTCATGGAGTGGTGTATATATACATGTATTCACATCATGGAGTGGTGTATATGTGTAGTCACGTCATGGAGTGGTGTATGTGTGTATTCACGTCATGGAGTGATGTGTATATACTAACATCATGGAGTGGTGTGTATGTGTATTCACATCATGGAGTGGTGTGTATATATTCACGTCATGGAGTGGTGTATATATACTCATGTCATGGAGTGGTGTGTGTGTATTCACATCATGGAGTGGTTATAAATATATTCACGTCATGGAGTGGTTATATATATATTCACATCATGGAGTGGGGTATGTATGTATTCACGTCATGGAGTGATGTGTACATGTATTCACGTCATGGAATGGTGTATATGTGTACTCATGTCATGGAGTGGTGTGTACGTATTCATGTCATGGAGTGGTGTATATGTGTATTCATGTCACGGAGTGGTGTGTATGTGTATTCACGTCATGGAGTGGTGTGTGTGTGTATTCACGTCATGGAGTGGTGTGTATATACTCATGTCATGGAGTGGTGTGTGTGTGTATTCACGTCATGGAGTGGTGTGTGTGTGTTCACGTCATGGAGTGGTGTGTATGTGTAGTCACATCATGGAATGGTGTACATATATATATATTCACGTCATGGAGTGGTGTGTGTGTTTAGTCACATCATGGAGTGGTGTGTGTGTGTTCACGTCATGGAGTGGTGTGTGTGTGTGTTCACGTCATGGAGTGGTGTGTACATGTATTCACGTCATGGAGTGGTGTATATATATGTACTCACATCATGGAGTGGTGTGTGTGTGTTCACGTCATGGAGTGGTGTGTGTGTGTTCATGTCATGGAGTGGTGTGTGTGTGTGTTCACGTCATGGAGTGGTGTGTACATGTATTCACGTCATGGAGTGGTGTATATATATGTACTCACGTCATGGAGTGGTGTGTACATGTATTCACGCCATGGAGTGGTGTATATATATGCACTCACGTCATGGAGTGGTGTGTGTGTGTTCACGTCATGGAGTGGTGTGTATATACATCCCCATCTGCTCTCTTGGCTTTTCCCCAGGCCTTCGGCCGTGCCCAGTCTCACCTTGCGCCCACCCTGGGCCGCAGCCTCCGCTCACTCCCGTCAGGGGACTTGGTTGCCCCAGCTCCCCGAGGCTTTGATGCCGGTGCGTCACCTGCTCAGTCTGGTTAGGGCCGTTCTGCGTTTTACCTGGAGCCCTGAGTGAAGGAGATTGGAGAGTTCTTCGAATGTGAAGCAGCCGAGTGTGTGTCTCAGCACCTGGAGTCACGCGGTGTGCTGAGTCAATGCCAGCTGTTAGAAGCCACTTCCTCTCGCGACTCAGGAAGCCTCAGGAGGCGCTCATTCCCCCGGAGCAGCAAGGAGACCCCAGGCCGTTTATAACGTCACAGCACTTCTCAAGCCGTCAGAGAGCTTCGTGTGCGGGACAGCTCTGCGGCTAGCCCCGCAGAGAGGGGAGCCCTTTGGGCGGGATGAGCTGGCACGCACCACGCCAGCCTTGGCAGAGGAGGGGGAGAGGCGGCTGCCAGCCCACGGCGGAGAGAGGCTAGCGGTAAAGGACGCTGAAGGCCAAGGGTGGGCTGGGGGTCAGGCTCAAACAGCGGGGCCTGGGACACAGGCAGGTCCACGCTCGCCCGGGGCTCCTCTCTGCAGCCTCCCCCAGAGACAGCAGGGGTGCCTGGGGGCAGGACTCAGGGGCGAGCTCCTCTGTGGACGGTCCTGCATGGGGCCTTCGGGCTCTGGGAGGCAGACACAGCACTCTCTCCTACCCGCCTTATCCTTTCCTGCCAGTTAGCAAAAGCCTCAGGCTACAGACGGAAGAGCGGTCCAGCTTCTCAGCCGAGGACAAACAATGACCCACTGCAGCTCGGGACGGAGCAGGAAACCATCTCCCACCCAGGACAAGCCATGGCCACAAGGCAGAGCGGGGCTTCCCTGGGAAGGAGGGGCAGGAGTGCTTTGAAAACCTTATGTCAAAGCTCGGATTCATAGGCTTACGTCAGCCTTGGGACAGCAGAAAAATCCCTCATTCCACCATCAGGAGCTGAGCATGAATCATAAACAGTAGCTGCCTATTTCTGGAGGAGAAAGAAACTTCGGAACGAGAAGATGGGCAGGAACACAGAGAAAAACCCAGCGGCACTTTGCCCACTGTGATGAGTTGAAAGTCACGATTAAAGACAAACACCCTGAAACCCAGCTCAAGTCCTGATTAGATAGACGACCTCCTTGCTCCTAGAACCTATTAAATGATTGTTTTATGAACATAAAAGCTACTTACTGTGATTTCTTACATTCTTTACATTCTTTATGCATAATTTTCAGCAGTCAATCCAAAGCTGATACTTTAAAAAGCAAAGCAAAACCTGACCAAATCATTGCCAACAGATAAAGCACTCAGCAGGACTAGAACTAGCAATGACCCAGATGTTGGAAGGCTAAGATTGGGACTTGAAAATAACCATGATAAGTGATATAAATGGGTTCTTTTAGCAGGCTTCTCAGTAGACTAGTCTCAGCTGAGGAAAGCTGATGAACTTGCAGGTAGATCAGAAATCATAAAAAGATACACAAAAAAAGAATAAAAGGCTGAAAAATAACCATAACACAGAATCTAAGATCCTTGGGACAATATCAAATAATCCAACACAGTCAACTGGATTCCTAGAGTAAGAGTGAATGAACAGAAGAAATATCTAAACAGATTGTCCTTGTTGTTCATTGCTGTCATGTCTGATTCTTTTGCGAACCCGTGGACTGCAGCACGCCAGGCTTCCCTGTCCTTCACCATCTCCTGGAGTCTGCTCAGACTCATGTCCATTGAGTCGATCACGCCATCCAACCATCTCATCCTCTGTCTTCCCCTTTTTTTCTTGCCCTCAATCTTTCCCAGCATTAGGGTCTTTCCCAGTGAGTCAGCTCTTCCCATCAGGTGACCCAAATATTAGAGCTTCAGCTTCAGTCCCTCCAATGAATATTCAGGGTTGATTTCCTTTAGGATGGACTGGTTTGATCTTGCTGTCCAAGGGACGGTCAAGTATCTAAACGGATAGTGGCTAAGAATTTTCCAAAAATAGGGCAAGATAAACTCCAGGTCCATCAAGTTCAGGGAACTCCAACAGTGTAAATACAAAAATAAATAAACTCCAAAACTGAAGGAAAAAATTCACCCAGACATATCATCAGTAAACTCCTAAGACAATATTTTGAAATTTTCTGTAAAAAAAAAAAAAGGTTTAAAGAAGCAATTTCAGATTAGTTGCTAGTGTCAATACTGTGGTACATAAGCATAGGACACATGGATTAATCCGAGGCTTGAATTTTGAAGGGGAACAAAAAGCTTGTTATTTAGTTCAGCAGTTCTGGGCTCACCAACATCAGGAACACTTGGGAGAGTTGAGGATGTTACTTCCTGGGCACCGTCCCTAAAGGCCTGGTGCTCTGGGTGCTGCAGACCACCCCGAGGGGCGGCTGCCCATTTCACGTGGCCCCTCCCAGCCCGCGTCCCCCACAGCCCACGGAGGCGGCCTCGGGGAGGAGGTGCCGCGTCCTCGGTCACGGAGCTGAGTGGG